CCGAGCTCGGAGCCCGGGGTCCCCGCACGGCCGCAATTCCCGCCGCCGCGGAATCGCTGTCACCGGTAACGACTGCGGCCGTCTTTGTCTGAGGGAAGGAGGTGCGGCAACCGAGCTGAATGGTGCCGGGGTCCCTCTCCGCCCGGAAGGGGGGAAGCGACTCTGCGAAAAGTTGCACCTTGCACGGAAGGTGAAGGGAGAGGCACTGGAAGCATCGGGATAGGATGCGCTATTGCGCCCTGTTGAGTTCTTTGTAAGGGTTTCCAGTCGATGAAGTTGTAGTCGTAGCACTGCTCAATTAGTTTGTAGGTTCCTTATTAAAAGCTCTTTAGGTTTTCTTATTAAGAAATCATATAACTCCACCTGCCTCAGAAATATACATGTATAGCTTCTCTATGTAATTCCATCAGTAGGTCTTAAAACACTACATGCAAGAGGTTCATTTCACAATGTGAAACTGTTCATTTCACAAATGAGAAAGGAGACACAGAAATACAAGTATAATAGCATGAAAAATCTTTTAACAGGCATGATACGGAAAGAATGTGCAATTTCCTTAAGAGCTTAGTGGCATTTATGACTGGTATTTACTTAAGTTACTTAGTTCTACTTTTTGTTCTTAATCCCGAGTTTGTTTTGAAAGGCCAGTTCAAAGCTGTGAAGTGGCTTCCTGCAAACCTGCTCCAGTCTTACACATTTTGCTTTCATATTGAAATACATGAATTCTTGGGATTGGTGGGTGCTTCTATACTATAAACCATTGAGAAAGCTAAGCAGTATTCACAATGAGATCAGGCATCTGACAGCAGAAACTCTTTTTGAGATGGGACCAAGTCTCTCTAATTGTATGCTATATAAAATAGCTGACTGTTTGAAAGCTGTATTTAGGTACTCTTCACCCAAAAATGACGTTTTCCTGGATCTAGGATACAAACAAATCAGTTTAAATATTATCCTGAAACTACAGTTTGCTGTCAAAGGGAAGAGAATGAAAAATTTGAAGACATGATTCAGTAATGTTTTTATTATGTCAGTGTTTATGGAATAGAAAACCTACAAAGAGACTTCACAAAGTATAACAACTGACTTCTTGTCTTCTTGATGTTTCTCTACTTTCATCTTTTAATCAAAATGAGTGAAATAATCACCAGTTGACTCTGCTGTCAGCTTTTAAGAAGCAGTGTTCCATTCTAGAGGTTAGTACATTTTGGAGGTTTGGTTAATGTACTCTCAACATGCGGACAATCTTTTTCTGGGGGTTCTCTCTTTTCAAGCCTAAATGGAAGGCACAAATAGACTTGCCAAAAGGAAATGGAGGAAAATAAAGCGATGGACAAGTTGAAATGCTAAGAGGAAATTCCTTTCAGGAATGTTTTAAAAAAGTTGTGCTGTACTTTATTTCTGGACTCTGAAGCATACTACTCCTCCTGCTGCTAAGACTCATGGATGTGTGTAAACAGGGTAGTAAGAGTGCTTATCTAGATCTCGTGAAACGCTTCAGAACCCAAACAATCAGTGCATGTTTAAAAACTGATGAGTATGATTACGAGAACCTAGCTTGTAAAACATTAGAAAGCATTCTGAAACAAGTTTGAAGTCCTTGTCAGTCAGTCTTTGAAACTTAAAATTAGGGAAGGGGTTTCAGAAAACCTTGACAGTCTTCGTATGTACCAAAGATTTTTTCCTTGATAATGGAGATGGGCTTTTCTGGCATACTGCTCATGCATAGAGTGCTCATGGAATTCTTGTGAGGATGGGAACAGCCGTCCTTCTGCAGTGTTTTGCTGAAGTACACTGACCTTTAAAAAAGAATTTTTTTATATGGACAGCTCTTTTTGCATCTTGCTGTTACTTTTACAGGACAGAGGGTGTTCTGAATACAGAATAGGAAATAGGAAGCTAAGTAGAAAAAAAAAATTGTTTTACAGTTAAATAAACATACTAGGCTTACTTATACATATCACACAATTAGTGCCTTTTGCTGTTTAAAAGAATAGACTTAATTTTAGATTGAAAACTCTCTGAATAATTTTGTTAGGTGGGTTATGAAAAAGTAGAAGAGAAGGATTTTGATACTGTTTTTATCTTTTTTTCAATGATGGTAATGGAGTCAGAAGAGACTGTGAAGTGCTGGTGAGGGCCATTGTACATCAGAAGACATCTTTGAAGTCTTATTTTGGAGATTTATGATGGAGCTGTTAAACACCAGTACAACTAATCAGATTTACTAAAACGAAGATCTTTAGATCTGTGCATACGCATTTTGCATTATTAAAAACCTCTCTGCTTCCATGTTTATGGTGAAAAGGAAAAAGGCATGTCTGTCAGAATTTAGCTGTTGCTTTACATAAATTTACAACAGAAAATGCAGTTTTGCTTCTACTGTTCTACCTTAACTCTCTCCAGAGAAATGTAAATTAATACTTTCCATTTTGTATCTGGAAAACATACATGTCACATCTCTCTTGTAAAATTTGCTCTTTATAAAGCTTCCGGGTGCTTGACAATGAAGGAAAATGGATGCAAAAAAAATTCTGAAGTTTAGAAGAGAGGAAATTATTTCTGTACTTGCTTTCTCTAGAGTTAAGGTTTTATTGTATATTTCTGAGCACTCCCACTTGTATTCTCCCCCTCAGAAACAAATTGCCTTAATTATAAAAGTGTTTCTCCCATAGTAACCCATTTGTGCTTCTGCTAGTCTAACAAACAGAATGAGTGTGAAGTATGACATGAATTCTATTATTCACCTTGTATTCCAAGTACTGTGTGGTATGTGCTATTTGATTAGTAGATGAGGGGGCATTTAAGAATGAAGCTACAAACTCCTAAATGTGCTTAAACATGAAAACAAACTTTCACTTTGGGAAGGGAAATTGTAGTAATTCCATTATGCATTATGTCTTTAGCATAATCCTAAATCCTCTCTAAAGCTCTTATTCTACTCTATTAAAATAAAAGAATAGACTATTTAGTCTTTGCCTTGAATGATGCTAGTATTGTTTTAAAGATGGTGTCTCCAAGTAAAGATCTGTGCAGTACAAGAACTTGTGAAGCAGGACTCCATTTTCTATAGGATAATGAATTCATTGAATTTGAAGACTACAGTATTCTTGTAATGAGATAGAACAAACAGCTTGGTGTTTGACTGGGAGTTACTCTGTCCATGGGTAAACAATGTGCAATCTGTTTACCAAATGGGAAAATTTAAGCAGGATGCCTTAAGGTTTCCTTATCCAAATACTTTAAATCCTGCTTCATTAAGAGTGGTGCTAGAGTGAAAAAGTGATGTGAGGATAAACTCCTAAGTATAGACCAATATGCCTTGTGCCTTCTAATTGTACATCTTTTGAAACTGAAGAACTCTCATGCAGTGGGATTTCTTTTAAATAATTTTTATGGCATTTATGCTAAGAATCTGACCTTAAGGTAGGAAACAATGCATTGTGGCTGTAAAGAATGTGTAAAGAATAGCAAGCTGTTGTTTTGCCAGAATTGGACATCTACAGCTTCATAGACAAATGTTTGTACTGACTTGTCCTTGTTAGTCTGAATTTGGTCTTTGGCATATGTGTGGAGATGGAGTAATCATTTTGGACAGGCTGCCAAACTGAAGGTTAGGACAAAACAATCTTGGAGCAGTTCTGTATGTATTACAGTTCCTAGCTGATAAGATAACTGAGAGGGGGCAGGAAAGAGGTAGCATAATACGTTGAAAAAGGGCATTGCAATCAAATGAAAACAGAATTAATGTGTTTTCTTCTCTGGCTGTAACTACTGATGATGCAGTACATGCCTCCTGTTTATTAATTTAAGGCTTCTTGATGTGACTCGAAGTTTTTCTTGACTTTTCTTCTCTTTCCGATTAATAATACAAGTTCTGTGTGAGAACTAACTAGGTGATATTGCATGCATGCAGGTCATGAGTCATGTGATGGGAAGGAGGTGGAAAATAAGAGACTTCTAGTAATCTCTTGAATCCTTGACATGTTGTACCCTCCACAGAGTAACTACTATGTTAGCACTAATACTAAGATTTATTACTTTGGCACATTAGGTTAACTTTTAAATTACACTTGTCTTTCAACGTAATAATAAAGAATATCTAGCAATTCTGATGCTGTTGAGCAAATATCAAGCTTCCCTCTAGAATGGAGCTGAGTGTTCAGATGACTTATTTCTTAATTTGCAACAACTGCACCCTGGAGGTGAATGAAGATGGCTGAAGTGAAATTGAGATTAAATGCCTGAGAACAAATGACATTTAAAGTGATGTTTTGGAGCATATGAAACAGTTCTTGTCACCTGGGTTTATGAGCTTGAAAAGCAGAATAGCTGCAAGTCTCCATCAATTTTATGTCTTTTGATATTACTGTTTCACCATAAAAAGCATCTGAAACTTTCACTTTGATCCTGAGTGACTCTACCTCTGGTAGAGGGGTAATAGGGAGAAACAGTCAAGTCAGTAAAGAGTTCATCTGCTTTGGCCTCGGTCTAGACTGATGAACATTTACAGGGTCTGCTATGCTTATTCTTCTGGGTGCTGTAAAGAGGGTGAAGCCCAAGAGACCTTGGGCACAGCTGGTGCAGACTGGACACTGTGTGGGAGGTGAATGTGGTGGGGTGTGTCAGAAGGGCCACTGGGGAACTGAGGAAGCTTCATGACATTAGAGTGTCTCTGGGTCACAGGGCTGACTTAGACTTGCATTAGAGATGGTAGATGAATATTCTGCTTAGGTAAAAGCTAACTTCCATGTTGGGTACTGGCGATAACTTGGAGCAGTTATAATACCAATAAGAAAATACCTCAAGTGTTTGATAACAGGCTTTAGTTTGGATTACATCATTGTTTCTCTCACTTACATGCAAACATGATTTCTTTGTTTAGATCTTCACCTTGCTGCTGAGCTTGGAAAGACTCTACTGGACCGTAACACTGAACTAGAAGAATCCTTACAGCAAATGTATGCAACAAATCAAGAGCAATTGCAGGAGATAGAGGTAAAATATCTAAAGGATCCCCGTGTGAAAGCATGTAGACCTGCAACATACAGTGTATAAGTTAAGATCTGAATTTCTTGACATCTAATGGAAAACACTGAACAAACTTTCATCTCTTCTGCTATTTTGAGAATTTGAGAACTGGTATAGATGGCTTATACTTAGAACTGTTCCCCTGATTACCAGAAGCTTTGTGCCACTAAATGTTGGATTTGGTTTATTTAATGACAAATGACTGGTATTTTTCGGTTTTTACAGAAAAAATACTTCAGTTATTTTTATTGCTAAACTTTGCTGATCTTGCCGTGTAAAATAACAGTAAATTATATGTTGATAAATACATAAATAATTTAAAATATTACATGAGAATGATTGCAGCACTGAAATTTAAATGCTGATAAGTGCAGAAGTGAGATTTAAGTAAAATATGAAGATATGTACTTCCACTACACTGAGCTGTGATAAAGAGAGCTAAAGTCTATTTCAGTGTAAAAGACACCCTGCAAGGACAAAAAAAAACCCCAACCAACCAACCAAACAACAAAAACCAGAAAAAAAATCCCACTGAAGTAGTATCTAAATATAGGATATAGTGGATATATTGTGCCATATTTTCCAGGGAAAAAAACTAAAAACATGACCATCCTTTCAAAACCACTCATCTTTAGGTAATAGAGTGAAAAAACCTGGCTATTTCTGGCAATTTCTCTTTTTTTTAATATTGCCTGTGTTCTTGCAGACCTAGCATTTGTCAGCATAATGAGATTTTTTTCAGCTATTAGAGGGCAATGCATGGTCTCTAATAATTAAATTATTAAATATTCAGGACTTTGCTGACTGACAACATACTGAAAATGTAGTCAGCATTTCAGTTTGGTTCTGGTGTGAATCACAGGGAACAGGCTGTGACTGGTATGTACCAGATTTTTACAAAATCTAAGTTCCTTTGTGCTAGCAGTACTGCAGTTAGAGATGTGCATCTTGTACAGCTGCAACTTCAGACTGAAAATGCTCACTATTGTAGTGACAACAAGTAACTGAAAGAATCCTAACCTTAATAATTACAGAATTATAATTATTTTTAAAGTAGTCAACACAAATGCAGAATTTTTAGTAAGTGGTGAGCAATTTCTGAGTGCAGGTTTGATTTGTGGGCGTGTTTTTAGAAGTTACTTTTGTTTTATACCTCATCTCTTGGCTCTTTCTTCTATTACGTGCTAACTGTAATCCTTGTTATCCTGTTCATGCTGAAATACAATGGTTGGAATGGCTGATACTTATATTACTGCCACAGCATTAGAAGATGTATTTACTTATGCAAAGACTGAAAATACCTCATTGCCATGAACAGTTTTTATAAAAAGATCAATTCTTAAGGTGTAGAGAGGACAAACACTTAAAAGGTGCTATACAAATACTGTATAAGAGGTACTTGTATGGACAACCATATTTAAGAAAGTGTTTAGCAGAGTTACAACACACCTTTTGAAATAACACATCAGAACTTTGTGATAGGCAACTAACCTGGCTGATCAACTGTAGCTACTTAATAAGCAGCTGTATTTTAACACTCTCTAGAGATGTGGAAAATATATTACTGCTAAGCTACATTGATTTACAGAAATAGTCTAGTGCTGTTAATGCAATATCCTATTGGTTTAAGCCAGTTTATTTGCTTAAGCTGTTCTGGTGGTTCAATGTTTATAGACAACATAAGAGAGCTTCAGCCCCAGAAGTGTCACAAATGTCCTTCCAGCAGTGATCTATAGTTGGTGTGTTGCAGGGTCAAGTACATGTGTGGTCAGACAAACTCAGATATGACAGATTAATTTTTTCTCTCATGTCTTGGTTTACCAAGACTTTGCCAGTACTACTATTTGAAGGCTTTATCTGGTAACCCTTCAATCTCTTTCCTCCTCTCCCCCAAGGAGGGTAGGAGATGTGTATTAGATTGTCCTATTAGCTCCTTCCAAGAGGAGAGGGAGGGAGTGGGAGAAAGTTTTTGTGGTGCTTCTGACTTACAAATAGCACCTGCACCTTTTCTTTGCCCAGATTGTTGAGCTAAAGGCTGTATTTGTATCTGCTGTAGCAACATGCTGTCTTCTCAGTCCTATTTCCTGTCTCAATCTTTTCTCTTTCCCTAGTGCCATTTAAAAATGTAATAGCAGCACAAAATTTTTCTTCCTCCAAAGAAGTTTCTTTTGCATCTGGATTTCTGGCAGAAAAGGGAAAATGAACCCCTTGTTCAAATACCCAGAGAAACCCTCCAGTTGAGGAACTGAATAAATCAGCATACTGGCGTGAGGAATTATTACAGGAATTCACTGAAACAAATGGGAATAAAATTTGCATATGCAAGGTGTAAAGCAGTTCAGTCTATTATTTTCATACCAACATTTCTGTCTCTTGTGGGATCACAGGATACCCTGTTGCACAGAATGCATGTGCAAATGGCATAATCAGTCTTGGTTTTTCCCAATTTTCAAGTGCTTGCCTTTGTAACCTACATGTGATCTTTCAGCTATTCCTGTAGCTACTCTGCTGAATTTCTGTACTAGCTTTTTCAGTGCAGTATATCCATATAAATCTTTGGGAGTTTTTTCCGATTAATTTGGATCTCACAGGTAGCAAAGTCTAAAACTGGCTGAGAAATCATTCTGAAATATGGCACTGCCTTGTCTGCACTGTAAGGGAAAGGTCAAAGGCTGTGGTGTGCTTAAGATTGCATCTCGTATATTAAATACTAAGATATTAAACATTTTACAGCTTTGGATCATTATAGCTGACCTTTGTGCTGACACGTGTGCCACTAACTAATCACTGTAGATGTAATAAAGGTTGCATGGAAACAGCAACTTTATTTCTGCCTGAATCTCTTCTCATCACTCAGATGTTGGAAATCCTGACAGTATCCAATTTTTGTGAGCGAGAATGCAAAGTGCTGCTTCATGTTAGGTGCTTGGTTGTAGGGGACATAGATAAATACTTCTAAAGTATTTATTACATCATGGTGGTTATACCAGGCCAACTGGGTACCAGCTCTGAAGATACTGGAGATGGAAGGTGGGGGAAATGCTGCTTCACCCCTTCCACTCATCTCAAGTGTCTGCAAATGCCCATTGTAAGAAGTGGCAACATCTCTTAAGGCACCAAAGCCTTGGCTCCTGTGCTTAGCCACACTTGTATTGCTGAAGAAAGTCTGAGGATCTCCAGCTCCTTCCTTCAACTATAACCAGTAGGGAAAGTTAATCTGAAATGGGTCACATTGAGATTCCACTGCTAATCTATGTTCTATTTTTGTGTAAATCCTCTGTCATGTGTGCACAGGCTACAAAAGGATCTAGCCAACAGCTATCATGTTGATCTCCTAGAAGTCTGTATGGAGCAGTTACTAGTCCTAGATTAACTTATTATCTGTTCTTAAATTGCCTAAAATGTAAACCCACCAATCTTTTAATGAGGTAAAAGGTTAAGTAGAATATTAGAAGTTTTGAGTATGTAACAGTCCTATGTAAAGAGAAGTAATTCTGCCTAGGAGTTTGCTGGATGTTCCTACTTGAAGCTTAGTTTTAAGAAAGTAATGTGTAGCAATACAGATTATTGTAAAATACAAATTCTGTATAATAAAAAAATATTTCAAAATATTAGGGGATTAGACTCAAATAGAAAAGAACCGTCTCATGTAAATGCTCATGTCCTGTATGGGAGAATATAAGACACTTTTTTTAAGAATTGTAGGTGATTGTGGACTGCTTAGGCTAAGAATTTCAAGCTTTCTGACATTATTCAGGAAACTAAACAGTCTATGTAGTTAATTGTAAAACCCAAGAGGATTAAATTTTGAATACTTCATGTGAGTAGCCCACATACTGTCTTTAGAGTGACCACAACCTAAATTCTGCCTCGCTGAACCTAATGCTGCTTCAGACTGGAAGAACTTAGGCTTATTTGAAAATACATTTAATTATGGATGGTGCTATCCAATATTTCAGTTTGAATGCTGAGAAAGTTGTTGGTTCAACACAGTTAAGAAACTTCTTTTGGAGCACACTGCAACCTTTAGGACACAGCAGACAGGTAAGGGCTCTGTTGGAGCCTGAAGGCTCTATCAGTGCTGACTGCAGCACAGCCCCACGCAGAAGTTGGCACAGATAAGGACAGCTGGCACCATCAAACCCAGCTCCTCCAGGTAAAAGGGCTGCTTTATCAGCCTGGGGTGACCTCCACGACAAAGGCAAACTGCCTAGTGAGTTACTGATAGTGTCTCTTCAGCTTACCAAAGCAAACGTGGGAATTTGCGTTTGGAAAACTCAGGAGTTTCTCTCTGAATGTGGACAAAATGCAGCTTAGGAGCTGTAGCTTGTGTTTCAGGAGTAAACCAGTAACAGCAGAACTGTCTTGCAGTACCTCACAAAGCAAGTGGAGCTCTTGCGGCAGATGAATGACCAGCATGCAAAAGTCTATGAACAGCTGGATGTGACAGCAAGAGAACTGGAAGACACTAATCAAAAACTGGTTGCAGAGAGTAGAGCTTCACAACAAAAGATAATAAGGTAATAAACATTTACAAATTCCCTCCGTCAGCTGTTAATATCAATAAGAGCGGTCCAGGTGTATTGTTACTGGGTGTCTGTCTCTGTCTAGTGGTGTTCTACAATACTGGCAAATTGAAAGGTTAGTTTTATTTAAAGGTGTTTCCACCTTTTAGCTTGACAGAGACTATTGAAAGTCTACAAACACACATAGATGACCTGCAGCGACAAGTGGAAGAACTGAAAAAGCCTGGACGAGGCCGGATGAACCAGGAGAGATCTGAGCAGCCAAGATCAATGCACAGTTTCTCATGTTTGAAGGAGCTGTATGACCTCCGCCAGTAAGACTTTTTACCTTACATAGTAAAGAACACTGAAACTATTTTAAGCAAAACTTTAAAATCTAAGACATGATCACAGATACCAGACAAGCTGGGAGAAAAAAAATACCTGATGTTCACAACTAGCAGAGTATCTGCTGTGTGGTGCTGTCATTACTTATGGCCTGCTTCTAGACCACACCAGTATTAGTGCTCCACTTTCTCTCCAGAGCCAGCCATTTCAAATGGTAGCCTAGAAAGCTTACAACAATTTGCACCCCAATGTTATCAGTCAGATAAAAGCAAGCAGATAATCTGAAAAACAAACTTAGTAAATGCAAAATATTTCCTGTAACTTACTCTTTCCTCGGATATCCATGGATATTTCTGTAGTTTTTTCAAATTTAAGCTGGTTCAAGTGACACCTATGCTGGGAAAACGGTGCCTGGGGTGCTGGGCTGCCTTTTAAATGTAGAGCCGTATGACCCAGCTGAACTGCCATAGTGGGGCCATCAGGACAATCACCTGGTAAAAGCTCAGACTAACTGCAAGCCTAGAGGGCAGTTTTATAATGAAGTACCTCCACAGACAGAACAGGTTGTTGTGTCTACTCTAGAATAAATGATAAATCCAAAAAGAAGTTATTTCTTGTCAGTTCAAAAGACAAGTGGATCCTTCAAGCTGCCAAAAGCTTGTGAAAATACCAGCCTCCAGCATTGCTTTGTCAATTATGACACTTGTTTCTACATCAGTAGTGACAAAAGTTACAAGAGTGGAGTGCTGTAGAAGAAATTAATGTCAGAAAGTACTGCATGGTACAGGGAGGCAGTGTGTATCTAAACTTAAATTATAATTTAAACTTGTGTTGTTTAATCAGCTTGTCTATAACATGGAACTGTTAACAAGCTGCCATTCTCCCTAAGCTGTGAGCTTGGTTCAATGGCATGTAAGTCCTTACAAACTCTGTTCTGATTACTAAATGGACTGATTGGTTCATGCGATGGCCCCTGTTAGTGCTCTGAAGTGTGTTAGCACACAGTTTAAATATGCCATTAGTTACCCAGGACAGGAAACTTTAGGTGTTGTCAGCTGTACTTCTGTGTTTGATAATCCTTATTTTGTTTCTGCAGGTATTTTGTTTATGATCACGTCTTTGCAGAAAAGATTACTTCGATGGATAGTCAGCTAAGTCCTCTAGAAGAAGAAAATGAGAAGTTGAAGAAGGCAGTGACAGTTCTGCAAGCCCAGCTGAACCTAGAGAAAGAGAAGAGGGTAACTATGGAAGAAGAATATAGTCTGATGGTGAAAGAAAACTGTGACCTGGAGCGGAGGCTGGTTGATACAGATTTGTATAGGGCTCGTGCGGAGGAGCTGGAAGCAGAAGTAGCTGAAATGCGACAGATACTTCAGTCTGAGAATGCGCTCCATAATGCAGAGAAATTGGTTCCAGAATCCTTTTTCATTTCATTCAAGGAATCTCTGGACAGGGAGCTTGGTCAGAGCCTGGGAGATGATGGACTTCTGACAGTATCGGAGCTTGAGAAGAAAGCACTGAAACGGAGCAGCAGTGAAAGCATCCTGAGCAGTGCTGCTGGGGCAGACATTCTCAGGGGCCATGAAGAAACATGTATTAGGAGAGCTGAAGCTGTGAAGCAGCGAGGAATCTCTGTACTCAATGAAGTTGATGCTCAGTACAATGCTCTGAAAGTGAAGTATGAGGAACTTTTGAAGAAGTGTCAAATGGATGAAGATTCTTTGAAACACAAGGCTGTACAAACACTGAAGCAGTATTCCAAAGACCTAAATGTGGGGAACACCCAGAATGATCTTTCAGCTAGCAATCACGAATTCACAATTGCTGAGCTAAGTGACTCTTCCACAAATGCTCCCCCTGAATATAAAGCACTATTCAAGGAGATTTTTAGCTGTATCAGAAAAACAAAAGAAGAAATAGATGAACACAGAGCGAAGTACAAGACTCTCTCATCTCAGCCGTAACCTTATCTGTAGTCAAGAACACACTTCATATGAATGTCAGAAGACCCCTTAATCTGATGTGTTTCTTGAGCACTCAAAATGAATGTTTTGGATTGGCTGGTAGCCCTGTAGTTAACAAGCTAGTTAGTTATCAGCTAGATTCCCTGTTCCTGTGTAGCAGTAGATTTAATGTTTAGCACTGTCACACAAACTAGTGGTTGTAAAACAAACATCATAGCTTAATCCTACACTACTACTTCATACTGCACTTCAGCTCTTGCCAGAGCAGTGACTGACTCTTCTTTCCTTAGTCCACTTCAGAAATAAGAGAGCTAAGAACTCTGAATCTCTCACAAGAACCAAACTAAAGCTTTCCTTTGGTTCACAGGGATGATCTAGCCCTGTGACTTCAATGATGCAGGAAATGAGCAAAAGCGAAGTCCCAGGGCAGCATCTCCTCAGCTCCAGGAGGGGCATGGTCCAACTGATCTTGCTTTGGCAGGGTGGTGGAAAGCTGTGCTTGGTTTAAGCCAATACCACGTTTTCGCAATCACTAAGCTCTCCCACGGATTAATATAAATGTCTTCCTATGAAGAAAGGATTTGATGTAAAGTTTGTGTGGCTTTTTAGAGATGGATTCCTTTGTAGGGCACTTTGTCTTAAGGCAAGATACTGTGAATTGACTATGTGTTATTTGGGACCTACAGGTCTCTGGTGGAATGTCTGCAAAGTACATTTTAATGTGTATTTGGTAAGTTAGAGAGTTGTTATTTAGCTATTTAACTTTAGAAGTAGCATTGACATAGTGGAGTAGCTTTTAATGTTGCATACCACAAACTCAAAGTGCTTGAGGAGACAGGCGAGGTAAAACCTTTTATTGTTTTGTCTGTTGCTTCCAGTGTTGGCCTCTCTGGACCTATTCCATGCTGCCTGGGGGGTGGGAGGACGGACACAACACCGCCAGCACATATCCTACTGAAAATGGGACCACATTCTTGTTCGCCCTCTCCTTTTCCACTCCCTAATAATTCATACAATACTTAATTTTTGAAAAACAACATGGAGGTTGTTCTTTAGAATGCAGAGAAATTAAGAGGAAGAAAAAAGGCACAATGAAAGGTGACATCCTTCTCCTTGTAAAGGGTCTCCTAGCTTAATGTGGCCAGCAGTTCTTGGGAAGCAGCTTCCTGCAGAGTTGCTGTGAGGTACCAAACCCTTGACCCAGAATGTTGACAGTTTCTCAGCTTCAGTCCAGCTGCTGCTGCTGCAGCGCTGCTGCCTTATGCTGTTCTCTGTTCAGCTTGTCCTTCAGGTGCAGTATTAAGACTTCACGTTGTGGGAGTTTCTCTAAAACATGTATTGCAGTCTGAAAATTATTTAAAAATGGGAATCTGAATCTTCTGAATATTTTTCTAAGCAAATAAATAATCCAGTCAAGCTACATGCGTAAGTAGTAATTACATCCATCTGTGCCAATCAGGAAACTGAACTTGGTGCAGATGGCACCTGCATTATCTAGTCTTGCCATCTTTCCTACAGAGCTCAGATGGAGTTCCCATGAAATTTGTATTTTAGGAAAGTTGCACTACGTAGAAAAGAACAGGTCTATCTAGGACAGAAATCCAGATGGAAGTAAGTACTACTGTTTTTCCTCATTGTTGCGGTATCTGTCAGCGCTGTTCAAAAATGAGGTGAGGGTGGGGAAAGCAGAAAAGCTGCTCTGCCATAAGGTTACTGTCCTGTCACTGTGTCCTTGGCACCTGCACCCATCTCTCCCCAGTTCAGAGACTGGAAAGCAGTAACATGAGAAAGGCACAAAATGGTTCACTACCAGTGTTCCTTACCACGTTAGGGATGGGGCAAACCACACCTGCTGGGCAGAAGACATGCAAAAGCAGTTCCAGATTTTTGGTTAAATAGGTGATCTTCAGTGGTTTGCTACTTTTGGCTAACTTAGAGCACTTAGATAGAAATAATTTCTATGCTTTAAAAATACCAAAAATGAAATTTACTCAGAACTTCTTCGTTGTTCTGTACTGTACTTCCCCCTTGGCTACCTGTGCCATTGCTGAGTTTTGGCTGTCTTGCAGCATTTACCTGTACAGGCTATGCAACAAATCCCTCCAGGCTGGGTTCTTATTAGAGCTTCTCCTGCAACATGGCTTTTCCAGAGAGCTTTCCAGCCATAGCCACTGTGTCAGTGCCAGCCAGGGCTGCCTGAACATAAAACACATCCCCATTTTATTGATGCAGTTAATAAATGACACTAACCTATTAAATAAGGTAGAGTTTTAGCAGTTAAGAAATAGCCATTTTCCACCAAAATGTGAAATGCCATAAGCACGGTAACAATATTCTTAGTCAATCTTATCTGGATTAACTACCTTAATCTTCTTATTTTGGTCAACAACTCAACTCAGCCTTTTCTGAGCATAAGCAGATGAAATCAATAGAATCCCCTTGAGCTTCTCATGTGATGAAAGCTGCAGCAGAGAACAGGAGCAGCAGTGACCGTGCTGTGCAGTGCCCACAGCAGACACTCCTGCAGGTAAGGCCAGTTCAAGATGAGCCACCAGGGCTGGGTCCCTGTCCCTGCTGCTGCACAGCCCCAGGGAGCTCAGGGACTGCACTGCATTTTGCTCTCTGCCTCTGTCCTTCCTTCCCAAGCCTTCAGGATGTAAAAAGAGCAGATGCAGCTTCTGTTTCTTCTTGGACAAATACAAGGTGGGGTAGAATTGACCTTTGAGATAAAATTTTATTTAAAAATTACACAAAATAGAGGTTTTACATGGTTACCGTGTGGTAACTACAGCTGGATGCCTTCCAGAGGGTGCCCTCAGCTACTTACCTTGCTCTGTCACATACAGTAATGCACAAAGTCCCTCAAACCAACCCCACACCAGCAGAAGAAATCCAGTGGTTGTTCCCCATGTTTCAGATGTAGGTACTTCTCCAAATAACTCATTTCACAGACAACAGGTGAGAACAATGGTTATGTAGTACAGAGTTCACAGACAGTGATTTTGTTCCCCCCTCCCAGGCCTGACATTCCCATGAACATGACTACCTGCTCTCTCTGAAGAGGGCTGCAAGGGCTATGACAATGCTCACACTAAAGTATGAGCATCCAGGGATTTAACAAAAACTGGGATGTTTGTAAACAAATTTAATTTATTGGCATTACTTACAAAATAAAATTTTAGACCATGATTTTCCATCATGTCTGTGTCACTATATGGTTTTATTTTTTCATAACGAAACAGAAGGAGAATTGCAATACATTAGAAATCCCAGATAATCAAGCTGTAGACAGGGTCCCATGGTGCCTTCCCGGCGGCTCCTGTGCCTCGGAGGCCATGCGAACTCTGGGTGTTGGGATGTCAGTGGCTGCCCGCGATGCCCACGTGCCCCAGAGCAGCTCAGATCCCGGCCTGGCTGCCAAGGCCGCGGCATTGCTCTGGCTGTGCTGCCTGCTGTGGGTTCCTCTTGCGTCCCCGAGATCGCCTGACACCGCTGCCACCGCTGTCAGGACTGCACCGTCCCTTTAAGATACCACATTCCACCGTAGCTGACACAACAGTCCTGGGGAGACAGGGAAAGGCTCTGTTGGGCTGCTCGGGCCCTGGAAGGGGCTGCCCAGGGACATGGTGGAGGCACCATCCCTACAGGTGTTTAAGGGGTGTCTGGATCTGGTGCTGGGTGATCTTTCGTGGTTACAGTGCTACTGCTGCATTGAGGGTTGGACTGGACGATCTCAAAGGTCTCTTCCAACATTGAAGATTCTATGATTCTAAAGTCCATAAAGCCATGGGAACAACTGGCTGGCTCTGGGATAATAAGCATGATTAGTAACAAGCCCTTCTCCAGTGCAAGGAGAGAGCATGGGCACAGGGCATCCCCACCCTGAAGGACAGGTGGCTTCAATGGAGGGGACACATGGTGGGGGAGGAAGGCTGAGAGCCACAAAGGACAAACGAATCCAAGGTAGTGAGGAATAGCTGTGGCTCCTTGGGGAGAACTTGGGGCTCATGCAGAAGGCAGATGAGGAAGGCAAGGATGTGTGAGAGCTGGAGGGGTAAAGAGGGGCTGAAGCTCAGGGGAAGAGACTTGGGGGGGGAGCAGTGGGACACAGCAGGAGAGTGAGGGCAGTCACTGGATCTGAAGACTTTTAAGAAACCCTTTCTATGATAATCAAGTCTCAAACCTCAGAGCCCTGTTGTGACCACACGTATGCTCTGCTTATGGCAGGAGAGCACCTCAGCAAAGGAGCACAGGAATTGGGTTGTCTTGAGGCTCATTTCCTTGTTACTATTAGGTGAGCACAAAGTCTCGAGTTCTGAGCTAACAGCTTCCCTTTCTTTTGCTCCGACCTCCCTCTTAGGTAATTCAACACAGGCTAAAGTAGTACTGCAGAACTGAGGCTGTGGAGCTTAAATGTATCTTTGTTTCTGAAGTTTTGGGGCTCATCCATAACAAAAACAAACCCAGAGGTTAGAAAGAGGGTTTGCAGACTGATCTGCAAATGCAAAAATACAAACCCTATGAGTATGTTCCTCTGTGTATAAAAATGAGCACAGGCAGATGGGGAAATAGAAGTCAACAAATCCAATTTCACTCGTAGTGGAATCCAATCTCTTGTGGCTTAAAGAAGTCAGAGAATCTTCCCATTTCATTAAATCAGACTTCTAAATTTTATTTCAGAAACAAAGGTAATTTCCCCTACTCCTGTGACAAATGTATTCATGGCAATAAAGCCTACCACAACACAAGGCTGGCCACCCAGTGACTTAGATAAAAACAATGCCTGATGACTTAGGGGCAAGTATTTTTTCTAGAAATAGGTTATCTGTTAAATAGCAACAGCATCATGAAAAACTAATGCCAGTACATTGTCTAGCTGTTCCAGGAGAGCTGATACTTGAGCTCATGCTGACAATCCCCCAGCACAGGGAGCCAAAGGAAATACTGTCTAGCAGGCAGAAATGTCTGAGCTTACTTTACTGGTAAGTCGACCAGGTTCTTTCAAGCAAGACCAGTTTGTTTATTATCACAGCAACAGATCTGTAGTTCTTCAAAGATGCTATTATTCATTTGCAGATCACAATGTAATAAAGTACTTAAGCATTTGTCTTATTGAAGTGGGTGACAGTGAGCAAAGGCCCAGCCACAATGATTAAAGTATTACATTAGTTAGCAACTTTCGGCTTGGCCATCCTGCATCTCTTTTAAAGCCATGGCTTGTGTGGTCTGTACTTTATACCTTAAACTCCTTGAGCAAGTAAATGGTGCCTCTTCAAAGAGAGATGAAAGGATTCAAATAAACATTCACAATGAGATGTGTAAACTACTCCTCTGCCTGCTGGTTTTGGCCAGGGTTTTGCTCTGTGCAAAGCTGCATATCTTGCTAGAGAATAAAATGTATTTCCTTCTGAACATGTGGCACTTGTGCTCTTCAGCATTAACCAGCAGCAGACAGTTGGTAACTCAGAGCAGTGGACAGAGCCCTTTCACCTCCTTAATGTTTAATTCTGCATTATTTAAAAATAACTCAAGTATCACATTTACTACACTCTATTCTCTGCTGCTCCAAGATGACGGAGAGATTTGTTGCAATAATACAAAATAATGTGTGAGCCATTGCTCCTTGGGGGGAAAGAAGATAGAATGAGACAAGTGCATTTTTAAGAAAAAAAGCTGAAACACAGGCTTTGTCCATATTCCAACAACTGTTCTATCATCCTTACCATTTATCAGTTCAAGGTAAAATATAATCCTTTGCTCAAATCAAGCATTAAAACTCATGTATCAATTCAATCATCATCAACCCAAAGTGAACAGCAGCTTACCTTTAACACTCTATCCACCTCCTGCTTGTTTAGATCCTCCCCACACTCCTGACTCAGCTGGTTCTGGATGACATTCCTGCGCACTCGGTAGTTCTTCGAAAAGATTTCAAGCAAAACTTGGCGATGCTTTAAAAGCAAATGTATCGTAAGTACACAGAGAACAATCATTCCTATCTTTGTATCAAAACTGCACATGCCTTAGTCTGTACAAAACATTCCCTGAACTACATTAGAGGAGTCTTGCTTCATAATCCTGAAACCATCCCATATATTCCTGCTCTCCAGCAGTGCCTTATCCTCCTCTACAGGGTTCTACAGGGGTCTCTCCAGACCCTGTGGCCACACCTGCACCTTTCCTGTGACCTGGAGCACCCCCAAAGGTACAAAAACACACTGAAGAAGGTGTTGCAATGTATTCCTCTTAAATGCTTCCATGGGAGTTCACTTCAGGCAAGAGGTTGGCTGGTGCTTGCCTCTTTCCTATAAAAATGTATTCACTTTATGGAGCTAGGAACTGCACTGCCCATCCACAGGTCTTTAGGCATCTTCCCTTTCACCTCGTTTACTACGACAGCAGTTAGAACTCAGCAGATGCTCACATATGAGGTAAACATTTCCTAATCTTAAGTATAAACAGATACACCTGCTAATCTCTGGTTAATGTTGCATTACCATCAAAAGGAAAAAAAACCTTGGACTGGATCGTGGTCTGAGGCCTGCACTGGAGAATCCTTTCTTCTCACAGGTCCAGAAATAGCCACTGAGCTGCTTACTGACATGATTACCATTATGTTATGAGCTTGCTTTCAGCTGGAAACAGGTTGGTGTTGAAAACACCAATAGAGAAAAACTATCTGTTGTATTACTTCCAGAAACATGGATGCAAACAATGCCAAATGCTCAATAAAAACATAGCGGGGAATGTCAATTATTTTATCTTTACCTGATCGTAAGTGTCACCAGCTTCCCAAAGTGCATAGACCTTTAGTTCATCTGGTGAGGCAGCAGTCTGTGGAGGAAACTGAGAACAAGAGGCTGTTAAAAATAACCAGCTATTAAATGAGTTCTGCTTAATGATTCCATGATACTGTATCCCTGGACACCCATTACTGAATCAAAACCCTGGCTGCCATGGAATAATAACTGCTGAAACAAGCCAACTGCTGTCCCAGCCCACACTAGAAGGGGTGCCTTGGCTCTGGCAGCCCTGTGTTTGCTCAGCACCTTCTCACAGCCCCACTGACATGGTCTGTGTCACACCTGTGACCCAGGGAATGGGATGAGCACCATGGCACCCTGAGGTGTCCATGTGCCCAGGTTTGACTGATGGCTCTGGTCAGGGTGGGACAACCTGCACAGGGCACTGGTGCCACATCTGTCACACACCAACCACAGCTGGGCTTTCAAGGGAACTGCTGGATACTGGAATCCCATGAATTGTGCATGGGGACAGTTTCCCACTGGTGGAGAGACGACCACCACGTACCAGAATAACCCCAGGGCTTGGACTTTGATGGTATGCCATGGCAAGATATCTGTAGATTTTTTTTCTGTGTCAGCAGTGTTTGTTTCTAGACCATCCAGAACAGCACTCAGCTGAGAGCACCAAGTGTACTGCAGGGTCCTTCTGGAGTTTTTTACCTTTACAGTGGCAGGTTTAACAGATTTGGACTCCATCCTGCAGTTATCTGCTTCACTAATCTCAAATCAGCATTACTGACAAGCAGGTGCTTCTGCTGTATTGCCATCTCTGTTTTGGGGCAGACTACAGAAGACCGAACACTGACAGATAGTGAACCAGGTATTTGCTCAATCCAGGCTCCAAAGGCAACAGTGTTTTTGCCTGTTCTGTTTTTCCCCTGTGTGCCAAGCTAGAGAAACATATTCATTTTTCTGAGACAGAAGCCTCACACCCCTGCATATAGGAATGAGCACAACTGCCTCCCTCCCTAAAAAAATAAAATACCTTAACATATCCCCTTGGAGCAGTGACTAATGAGCACTGCTGGAATATGCCTTCACTCCTGACATGTCTCTTCCTGTCTGTCACTAACGATTTATTCCTTGCTAACCGCCCAGCTGACCTAAATCAATCATCTATGAAAAGCTAACAAGCCAGTCCCAATTGTTCCAGCATCCCTCAATCCTGGCTGCTGGTACAAACCAAACCTTTCTTCCCAGCCTCCCTCACACCAGCCAGAAGACTTGTGCATCACAGAGTGAAAAGATCAGCGTTTCCTTTCATGTTCTGCCTCTGATCTTACTGCAAAGGGGAAGGGTTTTGTCCAGTGGGAGCTGCCTAGTGGGTTTAGCTGCTTTGACTTTCAGGTTAGTCCAAATGGCTGGAATATAACAAGGTTTTACACTTGGTTTAGAGCCAGGATTCAGGCTGACTAGGCTCACAGCACCTGACATAATTCTCCTCCCATAAGGACACTTGCTTTTGAGGAATAATCTCTCTTGTAGGTTTTCAGCAGAGATAGAATCAAATACTCCCGCTTCCTTCCACACAACAGCTGTAGCAGGAATGGCGAAGTGCAGCAGGGCACTGGGAACACCCAGGCACAACCTGCTGGGCTTGACAAAGTGAGCCAGCACAGCCCCAGAGTGCAAACTCCTCCTGCATCAGCCACAGGGCTGAAAACCAGCTGTGTTTATCCAGCCATTCTGTGAGTAAACGGCTTCCAAACAAACACAATACTTAGTTGGGAAGAAAACTGCACAGAATCTCCTCCTCCCAGCCAGTCTTCCTCTGCAAACACCGCTGCCAAGTGCTCCCTGCTTGCTTGCTCCTGTCACACAGCCTGGCCACGAAGTGGGAAATGCCATCAGGGATTCTTCAGACACACACAGCCCAAACAGCTTCACTGCCTTGCCATCTGCTGTCCCTTTGCTGGTTTATGTCACCTTGATCTCCCCAGCCTCACCGTGATACGGCTCTCTGCCACCTTAAAATCCTTTTTAAAATATTTGTCCTGTGCCCCTTCCTGCTCTAAATCCCTGGAGCAAGTGCAGGGCTCCTGGTAGATGAACTCCCTGCTGCCCCAGGTCCCAGGGGAAACTGCCACGTTCAAATGGAACCTCTCAGGGAGGAGCCCTCGGCTCTGTGTAGTGCCTCATTCAAGCACTGAGCCACTGCCAGGCAGCCTCACATTATAGCTAAACCAGATGGAAGGGGCTGAGTGTGCCAGAAAAAAAACTTATCAGCTGGAGTAAGCCTAAAGGTAAACTGTTGATCTCACCTCTCAGGGGGCCTGGCATTGGAACCAGCCTGCAGGGCTCTCTGTGAGCGCAGGGCTGCATTCCCCTCTGTCAGCCCAGCCTGGCAGGACACACACAATTACATCATTTCCTGAGGCCTCAAAAATATCCTCCAGTTTTGGGCAGAACCTTGTCACTCCACGGTCCATGGGAAGGGAGCCACGGCAGGAGCCAGTCACCCCCAGTCTGCAGGAAATGGGTGTAGATCCTCAGGAGCCAGAGTCCTGCACAGACACTTCCCATGGGGTGGGAGAGCAGCTCAGCCTGCACAGCTCAAGGCACAGGCACCGAGTCCTGCCTGCCCAGGGCTCCTCTGCTCTATCTGTCCCCTCCTCACCCTCTCCCATGGCACCAGCCCAGGATTTGCTCTTTCCTGACCTGTGCTTTTCCCTCCTGCTTGATGAGGCTACGAAGCACAGCAAGCACAGCACCCTGCAGGTATCCCCATGGCCTCAGCTGCAGCTGGAGTGGCCTCTCCTGGCTCCCCACAAACACTCTTTATCTCATACCCTGGGTGCTGTTGGTCAGCTCTGTAATAGATCCTGCATTCCCCTGGTAAGGTTTCAATTGCCATTTTCAGCCACATGTTTCCTGTAATAGGTAAGTAGTCAAGCAAAGACTGTCTTCACCCCCACAGAACATCATTTTAATTACCTCAGATCATTGATTTTTATCACCAAAGCACTTCCAGTTACAGAAAACTAACGAGTAACTATGAAATCCCACACTGAATAACCCTCCAGGCCTTCCCCAAGCTCAGGCGCCCTTGTTGGGTTCTGATAAAATTGGCCAGGGGAACAATCAAGAAACACCAAAGTGTCTGAGCCCATGAAAAAAGTAAACCCAGCCCCAGCACCTTTGCCATCTGCACAGAGCATCAGGGGAAGCTCAGGGGCAATGATTTATATTCCTGACAGCAGTACAGGCTCATACACAAGAGCTCAAGTATTGCAGAAAATTCTGAGTCAGCAGAACTAAAACCTGCAACAGCCTCCTCAAGAGACATTCCAGGGAGCACTTCTGGACCTCTGCAGGTCTCCTGTGACAGGGATTTCCACACAGAAGGAAGTTCCTGGCCACCTCTCTTCAGCAGGAATTTATTTTACTTTTTGAAAAGAGAAACTATCTCACTTTCACATTCCCGAAATCCCCAAATTTCCAAAGTACACAAGCCCCAGTCCCAATTAACAGAGCAGGAACAACTTCAGCTGTTTACCATCAGCATGGCAGAGGCACACATTACACCAGGTGCAGGGGAGAGCCTGGCCAGCAATGAGACAGCTCCAGGCAAGCACCACCCCAGGACTTAGAAACTGCCAGGAGAGAAAGCACCACAATTGTTGCTCTCCCTGGTGACATTTCCAGGCTGTTACTCAGTTCCCAGGTGCCACAACGTGTACTTTGCACACGACTGAACACGTTCCTGCTGCCCCCCAGCAGCTCCCAAGCTCCAGGCTCTCCCAGCCCTCCAGCTTCCTGCTCTTTTGAGCAGTTCAGATCTTCCTTCTCCTCTCTCCCCAAAGGCATCTGCTCCCAAGCTCCTTCTGGTTGTAACCCAATCAGCAGTGCCAGATGTCTTGTAAAATTAATTTCCTTTTAGGCTCTTTCCCATGATGCCAGATTCCCTTTGCTCTCCTAAGCAATCCACTGTCTCACAGCCCTGCTCTGTCTCACGCAATCACACACATCATTTCCATACAGACAAAGAAACAGGCACCTCTGCACAGCCTAGGAGGAAACAGAGTGGCCAAGGAAACCTGCTGTAGGTGGGCTTTGTCACTTCCCAGAGGCTCTGCTGGGTGTGTCCTGCTGCTCCCAGGCAGTCAATGTCACCTTTCCTCTCCCAGCTGGGTCCCTGTTCCCGAGGGAAGAAGCTTGTGCAATTCCAGGAAAGCTGCTGGGAATCTGGGACTGCTTTAGATCATGTTAACAGGAGCAAGTTGGGACAGCAAATTACTGTGGCCCAACACCTTGGATGTGGAAACTGAGCCCCAAGGACAACAAGGCAGAGAGGGCAGAGCGCAGAGCCTACCAGAAGCAGGACCCCAGACATAATTCCAGCAGCTTCAACATGTCCAATATTGGACAGTTTCTCTGAGCACATCTATCCTTCTGGTCCACCAGCACAGGGCACAAATTTTTCACATGTCAGATCTTTAACTCCCCCCTACCACAGCCCTCCCCCAAAGCACACCAAGGGAAAACCGTACTTACAGGCACCAAAATCTGTTTGCAGCCAGTGTCCAACACCATGTCCTGTAACATTTTGTCTGAAATGCCACTGAACAAGGTATGTCCTGGAGGCAGACTGGCTAAGTGAAGGTTAAATAACCGTTTAAGCTCACTCAGGGTGAGTACAAATTGTTTCTTAAATGTTGACGACACAAAGGCCTTCAGTTCCTGGGCGACCCTGTCGATGCAGCCCCCGGGCAGGTGGCCGTTCACAGGCTCTGTGGAGCCCTGGGCTGGGTGCAGGCCATTGACCAGGCCGTTGTTCAGGCCCTCGTGGGCTGAGGTATCCATGGGCTCCTCCACACTCACAGGCTCCTCTTTAATGCGGATATTTGGAACATCCGTCTTGGCAGAGGCGTCGTTTGATTTCATCTCTGCCTTCTGCTTCTGGAACTCCTTCTCCAGCTGCCCATAGTTCTGCTTGACTTTTGCTTTAGCCATGTT